TATTTTGATTTCCTCCATACTATCTTGCACATATAGTTTTATGAAGTATTTATGAATAATATGCTTCTTTTCTTCCGCTTTGTATTAAATTCTTCCCTCATCATCTTTTAATTGATATGCCATCCTTTTTTCTCTTTCATTCTTCAATCTGTATGCCAGCCATCGTACAGGTTTGTTGGCTTGTTCAAAGTAATTTTGTCTGGCCGCTTTAATTTTCTGTGCTAATTCCTTTTGAGTTATTAAGTTGATCTTCTCTTCTACTGAACTCAGATGCTGCTTGATTTGGTAGAAAACTAGCATGAAATTTGCTAATCCCCTGGGTCATCCCCATCCTACTTTAACCTGTTGCAACTACTTGTCTTTTCTCCAAAGTAGACAGACAGAAATACATGCTGGAGATTCCCCTTTGTGCCAAAATTGGAAAAAAAACATCGATACATCTAAGGAGCTTAAGGCTATCTCATTTGTTGCCTAGAAGGTAGGATGAAGGCAATTTAATTTAATGCATGACAGGAAAATACACTGATAAGACATGCTTATGTCTTGGTTAGGTACAAGTTGGGAGGAAAATAATAGTCAGACCTGAGTAGTTTAGGACTTTAAAATATAACACAAGAACTTTAAATTATTTCTGGTAATTAATTTGTAGCCATTGCAGATTTTTCAGTGCAGAATCCTATGATCCACTCTATCTTACACTGGTAAACACCGCATTTTGTACCAACTGTAACTTTTGGATACTTTTCAAGAGTAGAACATTTGTTTTGTACTCTTTAGACTCTGCTGAGACTTGTTGTTCACTATTGATCTACAGCCACATCCAACCATCACCAATATATCAGTTATGAAGATAGGCTTTATATCACTATGACTTAGTGACACTATAAAGTGTTGTAATCAGTAGTGGGAAACAGTGAAGCACAATGGAGGCAGAATGGGGAGACCCATGTTGTCTTCACCTTCAGCCCCAGTTCAATCTATCTATCTCAGTCTTTTTGTTCCTTGAGTTATGTGTGAGACGCTTTTGTGCCATGTATGTTTGTTTGCTTTTTTGTTTATTCATTCCTTTTGTAGGGTTACCCATCTCAACAAATAATTCTGAATGGCTTCATATGTCATATATGGAACATTAACCATTGATTGAATTGTTTAAAACTTGATTGAATTGTTTAAGAGCCGAGGTGGTGCAGTGGTTAGAGTGCAGTAGTGTAGGATACTTCTGCTGACTGACTGCAATTTGGCAGTTCAAATCTCACCAGGCTCAAGGTTGACTCAGCCTTTCATCCTTCCAAGGTCAGTAAAATGAGGACCCAAATTGTTGGGGGCAATAGGCTGACTCTGTAAAACTGCTTAGATAGGGCTGTAAAAGCATTGTAAAATGGTGTATAAGTCTAAGTGCTATTGCTAACAAAGATAGGGCCATGGTCCAACAATGACTCTCTTTTTCTCAGCCAGGTCAATAACTTTGAAGCTGGGCAGTGGAGTCCTGATTGCAGTTCCCTGTCCTACACATGAAGCTGCTTCTGGGGAGCTTATTGAAAAAGCAATCCAGCAAGCTTTGGACGAGGCTCAGTAAGATTATTTTCTAATACATGATCAATTCACATTATAGTTTAACAACGCTGCAATAGGTGTGCAAAATCTCCAGTTCAAATCTATTCAAGCATATTACTGTTTTATAAAGCCTTAGTAAGGCCGCACCTGGAATACTGCATCCAGTTTTGGTCACCACATTACAAAAAAGATGTTGAGATGAGCAAAGAAGAGCAGCTATGATGATTAAAGGCCTGGCGACTAAAACATATGAAGAGCAGTTAGAGGATTTGGGTTTGGCTAGTCTAGAGAAAAGAAGGACTAGAGGGACATGATAGCAGTATTTGAGAGGCTGCCACAAAGAAGAGTGGGTCAATCTATTTGGTATTTTGGTATTTGGTATTTATTGTACATTTATAGGCCGCCCTTTTCCCTGAGGGGACTCAGGGCGGCTTACAATAAAANATTTTAAAGATACAAGCAACATGGTTATAGTCATAAGTGGAAAGAAATAGGTACTAGGAAGGAAGAGAAGAATAATAGTAATACAGTCTTAGTAGGTAATTTGACAGTGTTGTTGGGATTAGTTGTTTAACAGAGTGATGGCATTCAGGAAAAAACTGATCCTGGAGTCATGCAGCCATCACTTAATCCAATTCTTGTTCTCTCCCCCTTGCCACTTCGCAACAACGTTGGTGTCATCTTTTGACCATGACATCTCTCTTCTTTTTCTATGGAGTATAATTAGGCTTTCCTGCAGCCTGAGCAGGGCAAAAATGGCCTCCCCTGACCCCCCCCCCCCCGAGGCCCTCCAGAAGCTGGAAATGGATCACTCCTGAACTTCCAGTTGGGCTGTTGAGGCCATTTTTCGGCCACCCCAGCCTCCAGAGCCATTTCTGAAGCTGGGGAGGGCGAAAACGGCCTCCCCTGCCCTCCAGAAGGGCGAAAAATCAGATAGCCGGAGTCCGCATGCATGGCGGAGCTGACAGCTGGCATGCCACCAAATATGTCTCCATGTGCCACCTGTGCCATGCATGCTATAGGTTCGCCATCACATGCATAAGGCAACTTCATATGGAAGGATGAATGGATACCTTCCATTCCCAATCATTCAGTTAGAATGAAAGAAGCTTCTTGGATGAGAAATGAAATGTTTTCAAGGAAAAAGAAAGAAAATTGAATTACGTTTTGGAAAAGTATCTTTGGGGCAACTTCATATGTTATTTCATTATAGCATTTTAATATTTTTCTCCTGAGAAGCATGAAAGAAATTGGGTGATACATGAGAAGTTCTCCATAATTTGTACTGATATTTTATCTTTTTCAGCTTTGGACGTGAGTGCTGATCTGACTGAGTTAAGTCGTACTCCAGTTGCTGTAATTTCTGCAGGTGTAAAGTCTGTACTTGATATTGGCAGGACACTGGAGTATCTAGTAAGCTATAAAATTACAGAATTTCAAAATAATCATTGGTTCAATGTCTCAAAATGTGAGGTCTGGTATGCTAAGAAGTGGGATCTTTGCCCATTTGAAGGAAAGATTGAAGTAATCTGTTGGTAACTGGAGTATACATATATGTTAAAATGCTAGGAATGTTGTACGTTATTTTTTCTGTGACAACTTCTGGGACAAGTAACAGGAGCTCACTCTATTACATGGTGCTAGGGATTCGAACTGTCGAACTGCCAACCTTTCTGATCTCCATGCTCAGCATCTTAACCACTGAGCCACCATATCCCTTTTTGAAATTTCTAGACCATAATAAACAAAGTTGTGCAGCAATAGAAGTAATGATCCCAACATTAAGAGATTGTGTCAGAGTGAGCACTACTATTTTGAGACAACCCAGAAGCAAAATACAGTACAAAGAGCTTTTTTCTTTCAAACAGTGGTTTATCTACAAGACATATATGTAAAACTTTTTGCCACCAGTTCTCTGGGTGTGGCTTGGTGGGCATGGCTTGGTGGGGGGGGTGTCATGTGACTGGGTGGGCATGGCCATCTTTAAAAAAATTTTTAAAGCATTTGTTACAACCTATTTGCCCTAACCGATAGTAAAAAAATGCTTTAAGAAAGGAGGGGGGGAGGTTCAGTTGTGCTGTGCGATCGTGGGAACCTTTTTTTTCATTCTTAAAGCTTTTTTTTAACTACTCGTTCAAGTGAATAGGCAGTAAAAAAATTCTGTAAAAAGTGAAAAAAAGGTTCCCACGATTGCATGGCTCACAGCTGTCCATGTGATCATTGGAAGCTCCCCCTTCCCCACTTTTTAAAGTATTTTTTCCTGCTGGTTCAAGTGAATAGGCAGGAAAAAATGCTTTAAAAAGCAGGGGGAAAGCTTCAGATGATTGTGTGGCTCATAGCTGAGCCGCGTGATCCTCGCAAGCTTTTTTTTTTTACTACTAGTTCACAGAACCAATGACATTCGTCCCTACCAGTTCGTGTGAACCGGTGCGAACTAGTAGCATTACACCTCTGATATATACATACATACATGTACTAGGCAAAACCAGGCAATCTATCAATCTTCAACTATAACACAGAAGCACACACGGAAAGAGAGAGCCGCCCTCACAGGGCCTCTCTTATATAGACAGCTTCTTAAAGTGATAACCCTGCTGACTCATTCTCATTGCATCATCTCGGTTTACAGCCTTACAGCAGCTGGTCAGCTATTAAATCATCATTACCTTAACAGATAGTTATCCAATTTTTAAAAGAAGAAACCTCCTCTGGGTATGAGCTTTTCCTTCTACATGGCCTTGTGTCCTTTCAATTCACCTTTCTTGTCTTACCTCTGCAGGAAACTCAAGGTGTCTGTGTGGCCACCTTTGGAAAATCAAGAGAATTCCCAGCCTTCTTCTCTCACCAAAGTGGCTTCCAAGCACCATATCAGGTGCAGGATGAGAACGCTGCTGCTCAACTGATTGGTGAGCTGTCAGTAGAATAAGATGCATCTTGGATGAGTGGAATCTGAATGGAACTTTAGCTGAGAAGTTTTTCAATTTCTCTGTCAACAGCTGCAATGCTTTTCACACCTAGTGGAAGTCAAAAGCTCACTGACCTCATTAAGGTTTTCTTCTACATTAGTACACATAGGATCAAACTAGAGCCATCCCAAAATTCCCCTATCTTCAACAGTTTTGTCTCTCTTTCTCCTTGATGTCTTCTGTTCTATCCTTCTACAGGCTTTGAATCCTATACCCACAACTGCCATTATTCAGCAATTCCCGAGGCCCAATTTGTACATACTACACAATTAAGTGTTAAAGACTTTTTTCTGAACTGTACCACACTATTGCACTGGAGGTTGACATGTTGACTGCTATCTATGGCCCACTCTGAGCAAAACCCACCCAATGCTCACCACCACTGAAGATGGGTCTAGTTGACTTCTTGTTTCACTGTTTTTCAATGTGCATTTTGTTTCTGATACAAGCATTGAAGCATTAAAATTCTTATATGAAATCTTAAGTACAACAGAACATGTTGAGCATGTTGATTCTGTTGAACTGCAGCCTTCAAACACTCAGTTGCTACATGTTGTACAAAGCAGGTGTTGTCTTTCTACAGATATCAACGTCTCTTGCTTCTATTGCTTTTATCTTTGCAATTCTCTAACCTATTAGAGGTTAGATAATTGCCTAACCTCTAACCTAACCTAACCTAACCCAATGGTTAGAATACCATTGCACATTCCAATTTTAAGTAATTTATAAGATCCCCATATCTGTTCACTACTTCTTGTCCCAATCAGGGCTTCTATTTTCATTTGATTTATATTCCATCCTTCTGGTCTGGCAAGTAATCAAAGCCATTAATAAGATTTAAAGGAGACACAATATAAAAAATAACACTACAGATTCAATTAACAAATAAATGCAATTAAAAAGATGAGAAAATAAATACATTCAAATCTATGAGTTGGAAGGGAGTTCAACTTTGAAAAGAATGCATTCCTTAACCTAAGAGAAATGCAGAAGAGGATTTCCTTCATGTTTCAGAAAGAAGAATCTATGTGTGACATCTTTCTTTAAAAGGTCTCTGCTAGTACTCTTCATATCTGTCAGATTTATCGTGGGATAGACAATCTCTTAGAGATGGTTCTTCTCTTCTTTTTTTATTTACAAACATGTAAAATACACACACACAAAACTTAGACGTACACCACATTTACACAATACAATGCAAACAGGAGCTTCCTGTTCTTTCTTATAGCAATTATCAATTGATACCGCTCACCTTATATTATTTCCCCTTCTATTGTATTTCATTTAGATTTCACCATTCTTAACCCTCTTATTTTACTCATAACTATTATTTTTTGAGTTTTGTTATATTCCTTCATTGATTCTTGTTTCTTTCCTTCATTCACCTATACCATTTATCCCATATCTGGTAGAATTCTGATTCTTCCTTTCCCCGGATTTCTTCCCTCTCACTCCCTCTTTACTTCTCCCTTCTCTTTCCCTC